TACCCACATTCTTACATGCCTATATTTAATTAGTTATTTTTTTCTAGCAAAATATTCTTTAGAAATAATTTATATGACAAAACAACGTTTGTCGGGTCAGCTAGTTATATTATATAGATATTATTATAAGAGAAATTAGCATAAATATTAAGTAGATACTAAAATTCACATCATATTTTTCACACTTTTTTATCTCAATATTATTTTTTGCATTGCAATTGTTGTAATGAAGAAAGTTATAGAATTTTGTTACCCCCCCACCCCCGAGCATGATTTAATGTACGCCACTGCGCCTGACGATATTGATTCCGCAGTGAATAATCTAACGAAAATTATACAAAATGCTGCCTAGTCTGCTACAACCACAAACTTATCTCCATTTAAATACAATCTCATCCCAAAATAGATAAGAGTTATGATAGTTGAAAAAACGCAGAGCTCGAGCTCTTTACCAACGTACTTGCTTACCCTCTCATAAACAAAATTACAATCGACTATCAAATTCACTGAAAAAAACATATCGTTAAATATAAGAACACAGTTCTCACTCGTACTTTAACCAATCTTACTCCAAAATATGGTAGTCTTTGAAAAGCTACTAAGAAAGTCCTACGTTATAAAGCTTCTAATCTAAAATTAAAAAAATTCTACGGTAGTCTTACCACCTCTGATGCAGAAAAAGCTGAATTATTCAAACTACATCTCTCTGAGATTTTTCAACCACACTCAGATATTGTAGATTTAGAAAACATAAATATCGTGAATACGGCTCTTAATGCTCCTCTTCAACCCTCGTCTTCAGTTAAATCTTTTTCACCAAATTATATTAAATATCTCATACATAAATAACCACGCAATAAATCTCCTTGTTTCGACCTCATTACGGCTGAAGTTGCTAGAAATCTACCAAAAAGAGCCATTGTTCATCTAGTCCATGTATACAACTCAATACTCAGAATATCATACTTTCCTCTTCTTTGGAAATTTTCAAATATAATCATGATTCAAAAACCAAATAAGCCCCCTGATACTAAATCTTCCTATAGACCAATAAGTCTCCTACCCTTCTTTGCAAAAATCCTAGAAAAACTGCTCAAACGTATCGCTCCAATCATCGCTGAAAAAACAAATCCTCGCCGATTATTAATTTGGTTTTCTTACCTCACATTCTACCATTCATCAAGTCCACCGAGTGGTTGATGCAATCTCCTACTCTCTCGAAAAAAAATTATATTGCACCTGTACTTTCTTAGATATTTTTCAATAGTTTGACCGTATTTGGCATCAAGGTCTCTTATTTGAACTGAAATCCTTCCTACCTACATCCTACTTCATACTTTTCAAATCTTATTTCACTGATTGCTCTTTTAAAATTTTCTGTAGAACTGCCACGTCTAAAATAGCAAGTATAAATGCTGGAGTTCCTCAAGGTGGTATATTATCTCCATTACTATATAATATCTTTGTCTCTGGCCAACCCAAATCACCAAATACCTCAGTCGCGGACTATGCGGATGATAAAGTGATTATATCGATTAATGATGACCCATCCTTAGCTTCCTTATATTTGCAACCCATCTGGACCTCATAGAAAGATGGTATACCAAATGGAAATTTAATGTAAATAAAAATAAATCAATACACACTAACTTTACTCTAAGGCAAGCACTTTGCCCAAATAAACTTCTTTATGGCATCTCTATCCCTTCATCACCCTCAGTAAAATACCTTGGTCTAACACTTGACCAACGCTTAACCTGGGCTCAACATCTACGTGAAAAAAGACTTTCCCTTAACAACCGACTACGTATGCTTAAGCATTTAATTGGTAACAAAGCCCCTATTGATATCACCCCACCCCTATTAATATCAAACTCCTTATGTACAAAACCTTATTAAAACCGATATGGACATACGGATTGCAGCTACGGGGAACTGCTAAAAAATCTAATCTGAATAAGATACAAGTTTTCTAAAATATGACCTTAAGGAAATCAGTTAACGCTCCTCCATACGTGTCAAACCATACCCTTCATACAGATTGTAACTTAAATACTAATCATGATGAAGCTAAACTTTTTATAAAAAATTTCATAAATGTCTATCGTCCCACTCAAATTCTCTCATCAAGAACTTATCATCCCTCACAATCCCAGGTAGCCCCCCAGGGCGACTCAAACGCAAATGATGCAGAGATTTATTACTTTAAAAAAAAAAAAAAAAAAAAGTAGACTTAATTAAATCTGACAAGATTTAACCAAATTTGAATGTGTCATCAGTGGGTGGCTTCTTTCCCCAAGTTATGTAATTTCATGTTATTGTTCCCTCATAGCACATATACTTTTTATGTCTGTATTTATTATGATATATATTGTATATTTTCTTCTAAAAAATAAAAAATAAATAAAAAAATTTTGTTTTTAGTATGCTGAATTCCTTAGCTCTTGGAAATAATATTATAGGTATACAAATTTCAATGATTTTCTGGTGGTACAAAAACATATCTTGCACCACCACATTTTAGATGTGGTGTTGCAAGTGCCACATTTGCACCACTCAGTTTATGCCACTGCTGGCTGGGAAACTTTTAGGACTATTGTAGACATTTTGTCACAACCACGCTATAGTAGTAATAACTTGTTGTACACTTACGATTATTTGGCAATAGATCTGTGGAATTTACCAACTACATTGACTTTTAGCTTTGGGTAGTTTTGTTTTATTATAAACGTATTAAAAATATGTTGCGTATAATAATGCGTTCGAAATCAAGGTAGTCGCGATAACGCACAAGTACCACTAATTTAAATTATGACACGCACACAGTGGTTAAAGTGTGGGGGGCGGAGGGGGATGGAGTCCCCTTTCTTATTTAAGGTAAAATTATGCGTTCTCCCTTAATTTAAGTCGCCAAAAATCCGGGTGGACGTTTAATGGCATTAGTCACTAAAATACAATACGTATTGAATATACAATCAGTGCTCGATTTGGCAATATTAAAGAAGAGGGACTCTAATTACTTTAAAAAAAAGAACGTCCCCAAAACTGGCTGAGCGTTATGATTATAGCGTTATAATAGTAGGGGGACGCTAAAATTTCTGAGAATTAGTTGAAGTACTCCATCGCCCTGCGTTCCCCCTCAAGTCGAGGACTATATACAATACTTATTATAATATTACATGACATTTATTTTTTTGATTAATTTGAACAAGTGGAAAAAAGAAATAATATGTAGATATAATATATAAAGTACTTATATTTATTTGTATTTATATATTACAGTGCTAATGTATTTCAATTTATTTTTACTGAACAGGCATATGTGTAGAATTATTTTTCATTGGGGAAAATTTGTTTTTACACCCTATGAAAATAAATTTTTTAAAAACATATATGTGTAACAGAAGAGACTTAGACCTCATAGGTTTCCTAAAAAAAAGTTGGTAAGATTTAGAATTAGGTAGGAGAACGCTCCTCAATTTTTGATGCATACAATCCCCCAAAACATTTTTCCCACTTTAACCACTGAATATACTGTATGGTCATATAATGTATACGGTGGATCTATCAGTGATAATTTAAACATATAAAGTTATTACTTTTTTTTATTTGAAAATTGGTCTGAATTGTATTTATAGAGTTGTAGTTATTACTCATTATCTAACTTACTAATTACGGTTATAATATTATATATATACAAGTAACTGGTAGGTGATATGTGGGATTATGGTAATGCCGGCGACGGACGGGAAACTCTTGAGTTGGGTCCCGAGATATTTGATTGCTTAAAAAAAACACGAGTTGTGTCCGCGGTGATAATTAATAATTCTTGAATTGGGTCCTCGGTTGATTTTATCTTGTTGTTATATTAATTACCCAAATCAAGTTTTCCCAGTGAAATATATATGTTAAATTTCTTTCTCAATTTAAACTATATAATTGTAAATAAACTATTAGTGATAAAAGTAAAAATAAACTAAAATTTTATCCAAAATCAAGCCAACTCAATAATAATTTTTCACACAAAAAAAAAATTCTAATTGAATAATAATTTTAATATTTTAATAATGTTTACATCAGACCATTACCTTTATATAGCAAAAAACTAAATTTTTTGGAAGACTTTCTAGCCAACCTTCACGTGGTATCTTCTGGGTTCCGCTAATAGGCTGGATCCAACTCATATAGTCGATAAAATATATGGGGACTCTATAATATATATAATATATAATATATGGGGATTCATTAATAAAATAACTAATAGACATGTAAAACAACCATTGGCAATTACTTCAACAAGTTCGAGACCGTTTGAAAAAAATATTTTTAGATATTGTAGGACCTTTAACAACTACCTTATCAGGTAATACTTACATATTAACTATGCAAGATGATTTAACTAAATACTCATTAGGAATACCTATACCGGATCATCAAGCTAATACTGTAGCAAAGGCTTTCGTAGTACCATTGATTATAAATAGTATAGATAGCTCATTGCAATACAAAATACTCGTTAAATGGCGGGTGTCGCTACGAGGCGCTCCGCGCAGTTATTAGTTTTGGTGGGTGTCGTTACAATCGCTAGTAGTTTACAAAAGTGGGGACTGTCATTTGGGTTTCTCCCATTTTAATAATAGATAGGCCTATTTTATGTTTAATACCTAAATATAATAAAAATTGTCTATAATATACCTATATAGGTCATACTATTAAGTTTTCATTGGAAAAAGATTATGACTATTGTACGCATGTTACATTTTAAAATACAAATAAGCGATGTAATATTATATTATATAAATTAGCCATATAGTAATCACCAAGGCTCGGGACTTAAAGCACTTAAAATCATTAAAATAAGCGCTTAAATAAGCACTTAAAAACATCATTATAAGCTCTCAAATAAGCATTTAAAAAACTTAAATTTAAGCAAAAAAATTTATTAAAAAAAGCAATAAAATAAAAAATAAAACTGTATCTTTATATTATAAAAAAAATTAGACTTCATTTTCAAGACTGAGGATTTTATGGATTTTCTGAAAAATAAAATGTAAACAATATTTACAAATAGTTGAAAAAAAAAATTAATTAAATCTTACCGTCATTATCGCATTGAATGATCAAATGTTTTCTGAGGTTTTCAAATACAAATGACCTCCTGTTGTTAGATAATATGGTTTTATATGCCGAAAATGACCGTTCGACATCTACTGATGTAATAGGCGCATATTTAAAGTATACAATATCATCGCTGGAGTAGTCATCTGGAAATTCACTGAAGTCATCTAAATTACTATCATTTTCACCGTCAAGTATTTTTGATATTTTTTCTAAAATCCTTAAGCTATTATTTTTTTCAAAAACTTTTTGCAGTTTAGTTAGAACTAGTTTTCCACAAATGCCTTTTAACAAAGAAAATTTCTGTTTCACATTTTCAACCACAGCAAGTGAACCAGACAATGAAACATTTTTTGTTTGCAGTTCTATAATGGATTTAGTAAGAACTTCAAAATTACTTTTTATATATGCCAAATCGGCTTCTAAACCCGATTTTACAATGCACAGTTTTGCTTTTTTAATGCTGTCTGCGTCGTTTTCATCTAGACAACTTACTACGTGACAAATTGTTCTAAAATGTTCGCAATAGTAAATTGCACCCTCTATCCAAGAGCCCCAACGGGTAATAACTGGTTCAGGGGGTGGTTTTATACCAGGAGCTTCAGATTTAAAGATTTCAACACGATAAGGTACTTTTCGAAATATTTTTTTAATATTAGATATTAGTTCGTCTACCGTTCCAAATTGTCCACGGATTTCTTCAGCGATTCTATGAAGTCCATGAGCACAACAAGTTACGTGTATCATTTTTGTATAAATATTTTTCAGAACAGTACCTGCCTTCACCATATAGGGAGCGGCGTCAGATAAAAATAACAAGACATTATTATACTGTATATCACCAGGCCATATTATTCCCATAGCTTTTTCAAGCAGCTTGCAGATAGTTGAATGATTTGCTTTGTCTAGTTCTTCTGAATGAAGTAAAAACATGCGTTCTGGACAATCGGGTTTTAGAATTTCAACTATAACATTGGCAATAAACCGTTCTTCTACGTCACATGTCTCGTCAATCGACACCCAAATTTTATTTTGCCTTATTTCCATTTTCATTTTATCCATAGTAGTATTAAAAATATCATCAATATAACCCTACCGTAATGTTGCTTCCGCAGGAATATTTTTACCAGTATATTTCTCTAAAAATACTCGAAATGTATTGTTAGAAAGCTTATTTAACGGAATGTTAGCAGATACCATTGCTTGACATAAATCCTTGTTGAAATCGGATTTTTCTGAACTTTGATTGGTTAGTAGTTGTTGTAATTTTCTCTGTCCTTGATCATTCTGACGTTTGACACTCTTTTGATGTTTATTGGTTTTCATATGTTGGGATATATTATATTTTTTTCAAAATTAATTTTTATTTCACACATTTTACAATATAAAACATGCCCGTCTGTGGAAAAAATGTCAGATCCAAATTCAGAAACGTATCTTTTTAGAGTAGCACATGTGGATGATTTTTCTTTTCCCATTCTAAATTAATTTAAATACTCGGATACAAACGATGACGAAAAAAACAAACAAGACGATGAATGTTGAAGATTCGCACACATACGATGACGAAATAAATACGGAAACAAAAGCAACACGACGAACACGAACGACAATCGACTACTAAACTTTTAAATCGAAACATTATTTATTTTGTTTTTATCACACCCATAAAACCACGGTCAAATAATATTATTTACCAAGAAATTAGTGATATACAGATAATTGAGGTATATTAATTTGTTTCCCCGAAATCCAATTCTATTTTAAGCATTGGAATATTTGCAACGACGCGATGCCGCGGACAGCGACGGACTACGCGACAACGTAGATAAGAATTATTTTTAATTTTAATTCTGTCAAAAACAACTATGGTAGAAAATCATAAAAAAGTATAAAAACTGGTCAAAAAAGCAATAATTATCAGAAAAAACTTGAAATAAGCATTTTTTTGAAAAATCACTGAAAAAAGCAAAAAAAAAGCACTTTCAAATTTCATAATTGAATGTGTTGTAACATGACATACACTTCTATAGCACTCTGCTACATTTTAAGTCAATCTATAAAAATAAGCAAATGCTTTAAGTCCCGAGCCCTGGTAATCACATATTCACATTAACATATTAATTATTTTAAATACAATATAAATAGGTACTCACAGTGGCGTAGCCAGGATTTTTAAATGGGGGGGGGCTAACCACTTTTTTTGGATAAGTAAGGTAAGAGAGGATATGACAATTCACCCTTACCCCCCCCCACCATCTACCACCAAGTTTCTAAACGTAATCCAAGCATTTTAGTATAGTTATAAAAATATTTATTAATATATAATTTATAATAATAATAATAATTTTGGTTTCAGTGTTCAGTCACTTGCTCTACTCTGACAGCTGCATTCTCTTATGCGAATTTCTGGCAAATTCAGTTATTATTTCACTTTCATCGAATTGCTTTTTTTATTTATATTAGCCATAGCTAACCCATTCAGTCTGTTTTCCGACATGGTGCTTCTTAAAAAAATTTTTAAGCGATTAAGTGCTGAAAACGTTCCTTCCGGAGTAATAGAGGTAACTGGTAACGTGGCGAATAATTGTAAAAGTATTTTAATGTTAGGTCGAAGATTGGTGTGATGAGAGAATGAATAAAGAGCAGAATTCGGTTTTGGAATAGTATTTTGACTCCATTGTTGCCTTTATATGAACAGGTCAGCTCTGATTGTAGATGAGGTATCATCATGGAGATCTTGGACATATATTTTAGCAGCTTTTATAATATTTTTATCGCCATACATATTTAAATTGGCCGGAATAAATCCTTTAAGTGGCATAACATCAATAAGCCTTTGATTAAAACGAGCATCCATTGATTCTTAGCAGTAAGCAGTAAGCATAAGAACTAAATGATAAATGCATTATTAAACTTAAGAAATTTCTTGGAAGACTTAAAAAATATTATATAGTAGAACTGAGGTAGACTGTAATACTGTAAATATTATATATATATATATATATATATATATATATAATATAATAACCAAAACAATTTCTTATTAAATAATATAATTTTTTTTTTTATTCTTATTAGAAATTAGAAATTACTAATTACAAATTATTAAAAATAATTCATTACGAGCGAACATAACAAAATATTTTGTACAAAACAATCAAATAAAGATAATAATACTGTAAGAGTTAAATATAAATATGTAGAGAAGTAACAAGATTATAAAATACTGATACTTATATATTATTATAAGATACTGATATACAAACAAGGTATTTTAATTTTAATTTTTCTCATTGCTTGCCTTTGATGTACACTGACCTTCATTATCTCCTCCAAAGTAATTATATTTGATCTTTAATCGTTCACGAATTAAAAGACCTTTAACTAACCGTTTCCAATTTCCATAGACTCTATCCTCATATCTTTTTTGCTCTCGCTTACGACTTTCTTCAATTTCTTGATTCCATGCATCTACCAAAGTATCTTTATACTCTTTGCATACTACAAAACCATCATTTACTGGGTGTGAACCACCAGCATGAAAATCAAAACCAACTACCGCAGGAGCACAATCAATATTTAATTTTTTGGCTATGCGGAGCAAACCAGGAAGTTTTAAATGAACTGTTTCTTTAG